ACCCACTGCTAGCGTCTGACAGTGTCCGCCAGCCAGGCCAGCTCTCTGGCGGGGGTGCTGTGTGCCCAGTTATGGTAGACACTTGGTCTCAGTGGACTTGGTTGGGCCGTGCTGGGCCCCATGCGTCTCTGATCGGGTACGCAGATCAGCCCATTCTCATTTAAATTCTCTTAGTGGCAGACAGAAACAGAGGTGGGTTGTGAGCAGGAGGAGATGTTGGCAAGCTGCCCTCGCACAGTCCCGCCTGTCAGACTCCAGGCAACGTTTCTCCATCCACCTTAGCCTTTTTATGGAGGGACTCTGGCTTCATCCCAGCAGTAGCAGTCAGCGATGGTGCTCAACAGGGCAGTCACTGCACCCCACTCCCCCAGTGCTCCACATAGTCTCAGTGGGGCACGTGGTACCTGTGCCAGGGCACTCGGCTCAGCCTATGGCCCACATGTTGGCTTCCCAGTTCTGCTGTCACCTGCTGGACCCTCCATCCGCTGCTCCTGTGACCCAGCAAGATGTGTCATTGTCCTTCCTCTCTCAGTTGCCCTGGGTGCCTTAATCCTGCTGGAGAAGGTCAGCTGAGCTTTGTGAAGTTCACATTGGATGCCTGGTAAGCAAATAGATGTAGTAAGGATGCTTATTGCCTTGGGACCCTAGGGAAAAATAACAACTGTAACTCAGCATCTAAAAGACCTTAAGGTACGTTTAAGATAACCAGGCTCCTTGCTCCTGTAAATAGCTTTTCCAAACGCTTCCTTTGGAGAGATGGGGGTCAGTAGAAGGTTCCCAATCCACTTTTATTTAGAACTAGTGTATACCTGTCTTTTTCTTGTATGTATATTGACTTCAGTCTCTGGTGAGTTTTATTACTTTAGGGGGAAACATCTCATTATGACTTTCATTTTGCTGGGATAAATAAATTTTTAAAAATCTGTGTTCCATTCCCCTTTTCTACACCTGTTCCATTTTGATTTAATATTTTAGAGTAGGAATGCGTAGAATTAGGCAGATTACTCCATGTATTTTGCCAGGCCCTTTGTCTTAATCCTGACTCCTGTCACAGGGAATTTCCACGGATACTACAAGCAAATTTTCATGAAGTTACAGAAGAAAAACTGTTGTAGGTTGTAGCCTATGAGCTCCTCCTTTTGTTATCTAAGCACTGAATAGCAGGTTAGAATTCTGCACCTCTGATTATCAACTATTTAGTGAGATACTAAGGTGGGTTTTATTTAAAAAATTGCGATGGAGCTCTCATCTCTTCCTTTCAGATGTCACATCACTTCTGGTAGCTACTGTGAATGATAAGCAGTCATTCAGACTCCCCTCCCCAAGGCCAGCAATCGCATTTGTACATCGCTTTGATTTTTCTGCGAATAAAAGATCACTTATGAGTCTGGAGGGATGCATTATTCATCTTTGAACTCCCCTGAAAATCATTTCAAACCGTTTATAGCTCCAGTTGTTTAGAATTAGGGTGCATGACTTTGACTCATGACCAAACAGGTCTGGTCAAATTCTTCCCACGATGCCAGGCAAGGGCCAGTGGTCTTCTCTGCAGCCACGTTGTGTTCTCCTCAAATCGGTAGCAGTGCTTCTCATAGATGTTTGTGTTCGATCCAGAGGGGAGTATCTCCCTTTACCTGTGCTTTTGTACCTCCTACTGCAATGTATCACACACACATGAGGAACGGGGCTATACACATCTTTTCCTGGTGAAAAATTTTACAGGGACACTTGCATTGAAATATTCTCTTAATTTCTCCTCCTGTGGCATGCCTTTAACTTCCATTGTCTTAGCGGTGATCGTGTACTTTCTTTTTCATCCTGATGATGATCTTCTATCATATTTGAGGTACAGAAGCATACACATCTACAAACCAGGCTTTTCTGTCTTTTTTTTTAACCTCCTCTCTTGTATGTGAAGTCTAGATTAAGTTTAGGTTTTTTTCTTGCTGAAAACATGAGATATTTTACCCAGAGTGTTCTTCTGTTTTCCATCCAGACAGAAACAAGAAGGAAAGCACAAACGTGCTACACTCTGCCTCTCTGTGTTTGGAAACTGTGCTTGCAAAAACTGCTGGGTTTAATGCAGTCTTGTCAACAAGCTCATTCTCTACAGCCAGTCACACTTTAGACTGTCATCCAGCATTTTTAATGAGGGATCCCCTAACAGGCTTCAGGGATTTCAAAAGGATTTTAAGAGCCTTACACAATGGCACTCTAACCAGAGAGGAGCTGACGTTCCACAAAGCAAAGCAGCCCAGTAGTAACAACACCAAAAGAGCTTTCATGTCAGTGGTTCTCCTTTAGTTTTACAAGAGTGACTGCAGAAGGAACAACAAACATGAATATTTGTCCCAACCTTAATTGCTAGCTTCAAACCCAGAAGATTAATTTCTTATAGCCATGTTTTGCTTCTATTTTTAATGTACATGTGTAAATACCGGTTTTAAAAACCTCTCTGGCAGCCGTGAGAATTACATTACAATGACAACTCCAAATTTAAAGTTAAAAACATTTTTGTTTTAAGATTTTCATCTTCTTCCTGGCAAAAAACTGTCTTGAAAAAAATACTTCACAAGCCTCTTCCAACTAAAGAACATCTGTGGGGAGCTGCTGTAAATCTGGGGAGGGGGAGCTCTTCCAAAAGGACTTTCAGAAGCCCTGATTACTTATACTCTCATATTTCCCTTTCTTTTCCTACTACCTCATGTTGTAGTGGACACACCATTCATAGTAAAAGCTGGTAAACACAGGTGATTTCTGACTTTATTCCACCTCAACAACCCCTTCTGTCCTACAAGGGTCACTGCCTACCGGTGCACTACCACCCACCATGAGTGCACTTCTCACCGCTTATCGACTTGCAGAGGTGGTGGAAACATTTCCTGCTGCACTCAAACCTCCAAGTTTTAAGCCCAGTCTGGTTTCTCTCAGTTTACTACCAGGTCAGGCCAGGTCACCTGTGACAGAGCAGGGTGTACTGCTTGCATTGCAAGCATGGCTTCGGTTCAAACCAGACCACAGGTAAGCCCACCACTGCGGCTCTGCTAGACAAGCATGTTTATGAGTGCCCCCGTAGAAGAGCTTCTCTCAGCTGATGGGTTTTCTTCAGGAGGCCTGAATTGGCCCCTGTGGCTGCTCTTCGCCCATTTTGGTGACTGCTGGAAAAAAATCTACCTGGGGTGCAGATCATGGCTCAGAATTGCTGGGGTTTGTTGCAGTCTCAGTAGACAAAGCCGGAGAAGGGTAAGGACTGAGATGCAGCCCAGAGGAAAGAGAGAGGAGTGATGGTGGACAAATGTGTCATGGGATGTCACAAGTATTTTGTGACTCTTGAGTGCAAAAAAGCCCAAGCATAAGGGACCCATTGACCAGAAAGCATGTAAACCATTAAAGCACATTTTCTGCTGAAAGTTGGCTGCTTTTCTGACCAGGCTGTTTTTCAGAAACTGCTGCTCTCATCTGTGAAGTCAGAAATTGAGTTGAGGTGAATCTCCAAATAACAAAATGATATTTTGGCTCAACCTTCTATATTTTGTCTTGGCTTTTGCATGTAGATCAATTTCACACGATTTTAGAAGTTTATGAGGCGGTTCTGAGATTTAACTGGTCCTTGCTGCCATTTAGGGGTCAGTCTAGCCACACCTGAGCTAGCCTTACAGAGTTGCTCTGAAGTTTTGAGAGAGCAGGAGGGTCTTCGGCCCTGGGATATGGCCTTACTAAGCATGCTGGAACGACTGAGGTACACGGTGGCAGCAGTTAACTCGGAGCCATTCACCACATGCATGATGTCCAGTTTACTCCCCCTTGCCCTGAGCACATCCCCTACATTTTTCTCTGTTTACGACAGTACCAGCAAAGGTCCTATTTTTGTGAAGAAATGCAACACTGTGCAGAGGCTGGGGGAGGGCCAGCAACACGCATCCCACAGGGACATGGGCCAAAACTCAGAAGCCTAAAAGCAAGCCTTTTTCCCATTTAACTACGAAACCTTTGCTCCTCCCATACAAGAGGGGAAGTCTTATGCCTCTGCAGTATTTGCACCTGCACCGCTTGCCTCTTGTCCAAAAAAAAAAAAAGCAGCAAACATAAAAGGATGGCATTAAGTCCGTCACTGGAAAAAGACATTTTTTCCAGATAGATACAAGCCCTTTCCCGAGTTACTGAAGCTAAAATATTCTTCAGAAAAACTCAGCATGAAATGGAGAGATAAAGTCCGAAGTTTATGCTTTGATTTTTCTCAGGGAGGTTTTTGTGCAACTCTACATTAGTCTGAGCTGAGTGGCCTGGAACAAAGGCTCCTGTTAGTCCAAGTGATCAATTTTAAACTCTTCACAAATTGAAGAGTCTAGCAAGGCTCTTTATACAATCCCCACATTTCAATATGACAATTTTAGAGGAAAACTTCCAGAAATTGCCATTCTGAGTTGCAAAAGCTTTAAATTCACAAATATTTCAGTGTGTCAGGGACAGTTCTCCGGCAAATTTGAGCGTTATATTCCTGGAATAAGTGATCAAGTGAGCTCATGTGAGTCAGTCACTGCTGTACAAGACACACAAGTATTTACCATTAGTTCAGACCAGCTCAGAACCATTAGCACTAAGCTGGTGCATCAACTGAGGTGGAGGAAAGGCTGCTGATTTCTAGCAGTACCTTGGGGAAAGACAAACAGGACTTGGAGGGCTGCCTGGGGCTGAAAAGAGATTGTGTTTCATATAGCATTTGGTATTATCTCCTCGTTTAGCCGTAGCCAAGTAACAATCCATCTTTCTCCGGCACAAAGCACCGCACCAAAATCAGAACCACAACAAAACCAGCATGTGCTCCTAAATCATCACTTCAAGGTCTCACTACAATTTAAAATTAAGTCATCTGACATGGGGATTATCTCCTCGACTTCAGAAATAAAGCACAATATCCTGGGTAGGAAGTCAGGCTGCCTTGAATTTCAGTCTTTGTCACCTAACTGCTGTCAGAAGACACATGTGGTGGAAACCAGTCCACAAACATGTAACACAGCCACAACTTTTTCTTACTTGCCTTTTTCCAACAGCTAATGAATGAATGCATATGACTTGCAGGAACTGGGCCTGAGCCATACTTCTGAAGGCAGAAAGACTGCATAAAGACAGCTCCAGTATGAAGTAGAACAAAAAGACCTTTGTGGCAAACCGATTTCAGCAACATCACCAGGAGCTTCTGACTCAGAGCCCCATTCTGCCCAGCTGCGCACTCAAACCACCACCACCATCCCCCCATACCTGCCAAACCAGCACGATTCAGCCCACTTGGAGCTCTGCCACGAGCAACTGGACAGAACACAACTGACACAGCCATAAAGCAACATCTGATGAAGAAATTCTTTTTATTTCAGGGTTGTAATTAAGCCACACTTTGTCACACTGCTACTGGCTGAGGCAGGAAGGCTGCCAGGAGAAATGGCACATGGGATCAGGTTGTTATTCCACTTTAGACCAGTCCGCATTGGCCTGAGTCAACCTCAGACCAGTTTAACCTAGCTTTTTGCTTGCCTGGCAGGTACCCCAGATAAAAAGTCTGCTTGCATCTCTCAGACACAGAGGAGGGTGCTCCATCTCTAGCCATTAGCAAGAAGACGTTGCACAGGCTGCAGTTTTCCGGCAGCTCTTCATGCAACCAAGGGGGCATTACTACAGCAACAAAAAGTGCAAGACCCCACTGCCAAACATTCTACCTCCAAACAGCTTCTCAGGCCTGCTGCTCCCACTGTCCCTGCACACTGCTTTTTGTGGTTTTCATTGTACAGGGACACAGAACACCCCATACATGCACTTAAAGCAAAAGATTTAAGCAAGTTAGTGTCCACCTCTTGGAAGTGAGGATTAACATCTTCCTTCGGTGGGCCACCCAGGCAGCTTAACCAGCTCCCAGGCGGGCATCCCTGCTTGCTGAGCAGTTCAAAGGTGAGCTGACAGCTCCCCCCTCTGTCAAAAAGCACTAAAAGCAGCCTAAAAATCTGCCCTCTTAGCATCACTTGGCAGATAGGACTTGAATAATGGAGAATTATTATGCATTTTCTTTCATTTTTTGCATGTAGGTAGGGGGAGTCTCCAGGACAGTTTCCTGGTGGTACAGGACTCCCCAGCCAAATGCACTGAGTGGTACTAAAGCTTCAGTTCTCATCCTGCCCTGCTGCAGCTGATTTGGGCGAGCCTTACAGCCAGCAGCAGGGCACAGCCAGGACTTCATTCCCCTTCCAGCTGTTTAAGCACGTGCCCGGTGCCCTGCTCCAGTCCTGTGATTTGGCTTCTCCAGAGCGTAGCAGCAGGAAGGAAGGAGAGCAGAGGCGCTATTCTGCTCAAGCAGGACTGGAGGTTCTTGCAGGTCACTGGCAGGTCTGTCCTTGCTGCTCAGCTACCACACGTTTCACACCAAGGGGGTATCCATTAGTCCCTCCTTTCTGCATGTAAGAAAAATAGTGGATTTACTGAGCATTTAATGGCAGGCTGAAATCACACATGAAAATGTAGTCCCAGTAGGAGGTTATCCCTGATGCATTCCCTCTGCTGACAAGCCAGGCTGAGATATAAGCAGTGTGTTGCATGTGCTATATGTTTGTGTCTTGTGCAGAGTTTAAGTCCAAGGGCTTTTTTGCTGGTTCTTGAAACAAAACCAAAATGGGGGGGGGGGGGGGGGGGTTTTA